ACCTATGCACATAAGCAGGGACAAATATGCACCTGCCTCCATGCCAAACGGGCATGTGATAGCGCCATGCCCATATTTCTAACTGTGGTGTGCAAATCAGGAAGAAAAATTACATCATTGTGAGGGATCTTGAGCACAGCGCGTTCTGAAGATCTGGCCCAGTCTCCCTCTGCTACCAGCACACAACTGTTCTCTCCAACATATGTAGAGTTTGTTGCCAGGAACAAACACAACTTGCCACCCCTGCGCATTGCGGTGTTTCATCTAACACATATAAGCTCAGTGTGCTTAGAGGGAGTGCACAATTCAGTCTACTGCAGCCGTTTCACTACATCACCCAACCAACGTCAGCCTGCACGTTGGCCCCCAAAGACCAGGTACTTAAACTTGTGCCTGCCTTTAAGCATATAGTAGTGATGATGGTTAATAATATGAATGTTATTGTATTAATACACTTTGCAGTAGCAGCTAGAAGCCCCAGGCCTGGATCAGGCACTATACAAACAATAAAGACTGCCTGTCTAAATAACTTGATTAAATTACATGACTCAAAGCAGGAGGCAACATAATTCAGTGGACAGAGCACTAGGGCTGGGACTGAGGACATTTCAGTTCAATCCCTGGCTGTGTCTCTGCCCTGGACCTTCTCTGGAAGGAGCTTCAAGATCTATTAATGAAAAAGTGACGCAACAACAGCAGACTTTTTGTTTGTTTGTTTTCTTTTTTTAAAGCCAGGCACTTGCTCCATTTTCAAACAGCAAGCTCCTTCCAAACTGAAAGCACATGCATTAATTCCACATTAACGTGTCAGTGCCTGACACCCAACACATGTATCAGGACCTTGCATGTCTGCTGCAGCCAACACAAATTAATGAAGGCAGTGGATTAGATTCTCCCATCCCCTGCATGGGCAGTGTGGGTCAAATGCCATCCCCGTGTGAAGAAAGAATTTGGATTGAAATTTCCCACCATCTAACACTCATCTCACACTGGTGGAAAGGAAACAAAAGGGGCCTACATGTAGTGTGAGTGGGGAGAGAGACATGAAGACATATCAAGCATTGCAGTCCAGTTCGCCTGCAGCTTTCTGAGCTTAAGCACTGTCCCCCTAGCACAGCCTTCCAGGCCTCTCTAATGGGTGTGGATGACCAGGACTCTATGACCCCTCCTCACCGCATTTCAGGAGCACTTTTCAGCCTTTAATCTAATGTCTTTCTTCATTTGAAATGCTGAAAAATGTGGAAGGTGTTACTGAATTTTGAAATGGTCCCAGCCTCCCTAGAATGGCTCAAAACAGAACGGGAGGGCTTGCGTCTGTGAGTTTGGACTGTTGTCACAACTGCAAAATCCACAACGTTCTACGGCAAGTCATAGGAATGTCCCCACAGCCTCCTCTGATTATGAGAAACCACTGGGAATGTTTGTGGTGTCTCACAAAGAAAGGATGGGGCACCTCTGAAGTTGTGGGCCCTGATCCTGTTCCACCTACTGATGCACCTAAATGTGATTCTGGTCCACCCTGAAAAAACATTTAGTGCCAAAGGTAGGCAAGTCCTTCTTTGGCTTGCTCCTTTATTGGACAATCTTAAAGCTAAGGAGATAGCATGATAAAAAGTAGGTTCATTAATACTTTTACAGCAGACGTCAGCAACTTTTTCAAGTGGTGGGCTGGAACAACTCCACCCCGTCAGAGGAAAGCTGACACTTCTGAGCTGGCCCCTGCCACATCTCCCCTGCCCCATAACACCTGAGCTCTTCAGTCTATACATACCCATGGCACTGGCTGTGTAACAGGAAAGCATTACCATTATCTCCATTTCACAGATGGAAAACTAGGGCACGGAGCTGTAAAATATTTAGTTGCCTAGAGACCATCTCCAAAGGTGCCTAAACTTCTATGGACTTCAGTGGGCATTTAGGCCCCTAAATATCTCTGAGATGCTGGGCAAAGTGACTTGCCCAAGATCACACAAGACACCTATGGCAGAGCCAGGACTTGAACTCACATCTCCCTAGTCATAACCTCATGCCCTAAGCTGGATGGTCAGCCGTCCTCTCCAGAGGGCAGCAAGAAGGCAAGAGTTGGAAGAAGTAAGGGAAACATTGCAGTGATTGATTGGACCATAGACAGTAAACGTGGGAGAAAGGTGAGACAAGATCAAAAGCTGTCAGTGGGGACCCAGTGATAGGGAGAATGGATAGGGGATTTGAATGGACACAAGGCCAGTTCTTCAACTTCATTAAATTGAAAACCATTAACTGAACAGGCCTCCCACAAGCACAGATGAGGTGGGCCAAGGGAGAAACCAAGAGGCAGACTTGTTAGGCAGCTTGTCTGAGATCCCATAGTAAGAAATAGCAACACATGGAAATAAAACCAGGAAACACAACTGCTAGTCCACTCACTAAACCTCATGCTCTCATCCTGGTTCTGATCTGGTTTACCATGGTGTAAATGAGGACCACAGAAGCCATAGAGCCAGGTCTTCAGCTGACCTAATCAACATAGCCCTAATGGAATCAACAGACTACATTGATTTACACCAGTGGAGAATCTGACCCAGTAATTGCATTCAACCTCCTCCTGGTAACTTTATAAACTCACTCAGTGCAACCAATCCATGCACACAATCAGATACGTAATACAACCAATGCACGCACAGCTACATATAGACAACGTACGATCAACCATACAGATGTGTTTATGTACGTGCAGAGCAGTACAACGACATGTGCATAACTGTGTATCTGCAATCCCTTTTAACCAAGGCATGCAAATTCAAATACGTGCAATGCAATGGAACTCCTCATGCCTGCACTATGAGCTTATCCTCCCTTTGAACCAAACAGGGTCACAGTCAGTGTGTAGTCAGATCACAAGGGGAATCAGATGATGGGAAAGTGCAGGCACCCTGGAGCTGGCAAATGGTGTACTCCATCCTATTTGGAAGGAAAGGTGAGGGAGGCATGAGCAGCCCTTAAGTAGCAAGTGCTGACTGTACAGGTTCATTCAGGAGAATGATTCACCGCTGAGGTGAGGCTAGAGTCATGTTAATTATTGAGGACACTGCAACTCTGGATCTGGGCAGCTGCTGAATTATGCAGCACTGCAATTAAGGTCAAGGAGGAGGGAAAGGGCCAGAAAAGGCTCCATGTGGGTGATCGGGGGGGGACAACAAATAGGAATCAGGGTCTAGCTGCCTAAATTTTACCCCAGGGAACTGAGTTCCCCGAGATGATGGGAGTGTGAGCCATGGAGGTAGATGTAGTTTCCAGTGGGAATGGTAGTACTGTGCTGCGGAGGTGCTGAAGGCCAGATTTTCAAATCCACTCAGCAACTGTAGCTCTCATTAGGAGCCAGGGTTACTTGGCATAGCTGTACACCAGGCCCTACAGGCTAACACAGCAGGCCTGACCCTGTGCTTTGAAGTCAGTGGGGACTATGTGTGGTTATCAGAAAGCAGAGCCTGGGCTAGCCGATGGTGGAGGAAACACAAGGGGAAGCAAGGAAGAAGAGTGTCCTTTCTGAATCCTGTACTGGTAAGTAAGTTCATTCTAGTAATTGCCAAGAGAAGCAGTAGATAACTGAGCAGCTTAGTCACCAGTCATGGCACCGAGGCATGGAGTGGTTAGCTGATTAACCCAAGATTATATTACAAGGCCATAGGAGAGCTGGGAAAGCCACTAGAAATTCAGGATCCTGGGCACTTCTCCATTTCCTATACCACACTCACTACACGTGATCCTGCTCTCACACGTGCTGGGGAAAAATCAAGAGTCACTACACTAATGTAAATAGAGTCATGCTGGTGTGAAACCAGTTTGAGATGAGCGTCAATTATCTCATGGGCACATGAAGAAAACTCAGAAGTTTCTATCCTTGTACAAGTCACCAGTAAAATGCCAGTGTCTACTTCCATTGTAATATATGACATCACCACAGTGATGTCGTATTCAGTTTCCCACAAAGGAAGCCTAATGCAAGCACAGGATTGTGTCTGGGCTACAACTGTATAAATATGAATGTTCTTTAATGAGGATCAGGATGGATGAATGAATGAACTGACATGCAGACATGCAAACAGGATGTCCATATCAATGGGCAGCTGGACCTTCAGCTATTGTTGTTTTCAGTGGAACTACCTATGTTGGTAGGGTGGCCACCATACAGGACAACCCGGTTGTCCTCTATCAATACTAAACCTGAATGCCTTTATGCCCTCTATTTTTCTCTTGGAGAGAAAAATAAAGGACATAAAGTTTCCGGATTTCCTATCAACAGAGGACAGAGTAGCAGAAAACCAAAGTGTCCTCTATGATGGCCACCCTATAAGTTGGTCAAAGATAAGCCAAGTTCAAAGATCATGGGCAAATTCCCTTCCAGCAATACAGAGTGGCACAATTTCAACTCCTAAATACCTGTCAGGTGTTTTTCCTACATTCCAAGAGTGCTAATAATACACACGGTTTATTTTTGCCCTTAGACATGCACTGACACCTATAGATGTCAGTGGGAGCTGCATGCAGGCAACTAGGGTAGGATTTGACCCTGGATGTTCCCCCTAGGTTTGCATTGGTCGAAGCCCTCTCATGCCAACTCCCGCAGTCTCTTACCTCCGCCATTTTTTTGACACAGGTATGGAAACCGCCAGACATTCCCCAGCCCCACAGAGTAGCCAATCTGTGCAAGGATGTATTGCAGCTTGCTGTTCCAAGCTGGCCGATTCTCAGAGTCCAGGTCCTCCTCAGCATCCTTCTGCTTGTCCCAGGTCTCTCCAGCCACATTTAAGACACTGTGCTTGTAGTCCACAGGCTCCTCATGGGCCAACAGGTCAGCCACAGACTCAGTGACATGCTCATTACTGTGTTCCCGCTGCGTCACTTTGCTGTTCTTAGGCATTGGGAACTCTCTGGCTTGGCGCCAAGCGTCCAGATGGGATGAGAAGGGACAGATGTGAAGTGGGGATGTCCTTGAGAGCAGCAAGTGCTGGCTTTGGAAATCAGCCCCTCAGTTCCTGTTCATCAATGGGACCTGCAACACAGGAACACCAGAGGCAATTAAAGCATAAAACCTGCTCCATTTGGCTCAGCTGTGAAGGGAGGCTCAGGCTGTACATAGACATTGCAACTGGGTTAGACTGAGCTGCTGGAGGCCTCAGTTCTGATGGGGCCTTCATGCTGTCCAGATGGTGTCTGGCATCTCACTGCATTGAGGACCTTTCCTTGGTCCAGATGGGAGAGATGATGGCTTCAGACATCCCAATGGGAATTTTTTTCCCCTGGAACAGGAAGCTTAATTTGCAGCTTCTAGCAAACCATTGCTAGTGGGGCCTTGCCTTGATCCAGATGGGAGGGCAGGGTGAATCAAAGCTGGAGAGGACCCTCACCTGCCCCAGGTAGGATGGATATGATATCACCCAACCCTGCCAGCAAGCTGTCTCCCATGCCCCCTGCTTCATCTGATTCAATGGCTTTTGGTCTGCAGGCAGGAGGAACACCAGCTGCCCCCTGCAAAGCCTGGCCTGCCTGTCCAAGAACAGCATGATCTTTGCCCACTTCTCCCCTCCTTGGGGCTAACACCAGGCCCATCCTGTTGGGTCAGAGTTGAGGACTAGCTCTGCAACAACTCAAAATATGGTTTGAGCCAAGAACAGGCTTTGCTTGTGTTTATATGACAGCAGCAAATACCAGGTTATCTTCCACCACTGATGTTATCAGAGCAACTGAATGGCCAGGGAGCACATAGCTAAATCTTTCAGGACAGTTTTACAACAGATGATGTCTGCAGAACATTGGCACTGTGTGCAAAGCCATTGATCGTACCTGCCTCCCTGTGTCCCAGGGTTGTTGCTACTTAGCATAGAGCCAGATCCATTCTTTGGTGAAAACCACTCGAGTCCCACAGACTTTGATGAATCTACACCCATTTTAGACCAGCTAGGGATCCAGCCCATATTGTTTAAAAGAATTACGGTGTCTGTTTCGTCTGAAAGTGTTCTCTAATTAGAACCATGATGGGGAAGCATTTTCACCAGTGTATTTTGAGGGAAGCAATTACTCTACGGTGTAATTATGCTATTAACAGGAACTCTGCCTTTTCAGCAAAAGTGCATTCATCAGTGCTATGCATTATGGAGCAAGTCTACGCAGGTGATCCATGCACAGTAGAAAAACTCTGAATAAGATTCCTTACTGCTTGTTGTTGCTATTGCATGGCAGCATCTAACAGGCCTACCCAAGATCAGGTGCCATTCTGTTAGGGCTTCTATGTGACCATGGGGAGAGATGATTTCTAACTAAATCCCTTGTAGCCTAAACAGACAAGATGGATAAAGGGGACATAGAGGCACAGAGAGATGAAATGACTTGCCCAAGTTCTCACAGTAAGTCAGTGGCTGAGCCCAAGACTATAGCCCCCACCAGCTGCCTAGCCACTATCATACCCTACATGCAACACCCTACTGACGTACTAACTCTGGGCCAGATTCTCAGCTGCTATAGGTGAATGTAACTGCACTGAAGTCAACAGAGCTAACTGGATGTACACTAGTGGAGGATCTTGCACACCAAAACAGTAACCTAGGACTTGCTCTTGCTCTTGTTGAAGCCAGTAGCAAAACTCCCATTGAAGTCACTGGCCTTGGATCTTCTCTGGAAGTTTCCCCAGTGAAAAAAATATGACTGCTTGTTTAGTCATAATGAGCAAGTGCAGCAGAATTTGTTCATGAACAGCTTTCCAGGTTCATCTCCTGAGATCATGTTTTATGTAGCGTGAGTTTTCAGTGTGGATCAATGCAAGATATAGCATGTTGTGGGCTAATTTTTCAAGCTGAAAATCTAATCTCAGCTCCTTTGATTTCACCTCAGTCAACACAATTTGCATGTGTGTTTCTGTAAACTGGCCTAGGGGCAGGTGTAAATGTGCATAAGTATGTGTATGTGATATATAGATATAGGGGTGTGGTGGGTGAATAAGTGCATGTGTGTAAATGTAAGTAGACAGGGTTATGACCAACCCTGGCAGGGGCTGAATCTGTGCGAGTGTATAAGAATGAGTGCATATTTGTGTAGGGGTGTGCTTGTATACAGGCCTGTGTGCACAGGAGGGGTTGTGTGCATGCTGCAGAAATAAAACTGCCTCAGCCAAGGTCTCTCCTCCCTGTGTTCATAACTCCATGAAGAGGCTCTCACACAGGACTTGGCAACTGGACTCAGAACTGAGGTCATGGGAATAAAACTGTCAACACTATGATCCAGTGGCCTGTCCTTAAATGCTTTCGGTCATTGAGCGAGCTTGCTCTACTGACCCTGATCTCCCAGAATCTCTGGGTGAGCAGGTCCACGGCTATGCCAGGTCTCAGAGACTCCTCAGGCCAAGATCAGGCAGTGCTGGGGTGTGTGCACTCCTGTCTAGTCATGGGCTCTGGCCTCCTATGCCGCCTGCAGTTTGCAGCCCAGCCATAAATTAGCTAGAGATCTGGCAAGCCAAATGAATCCACTGGATATTGTGGCCCTTCCACCAGCTTGAAGTGAAGGTGCTGAATGGGTACTACCCTCAGTGATGGTGTGCAGTTTGCAAAACCACTCACTCCTAGGGGGGAAGAATAATGCGACTCGAGTCCCAGCAGCAGCAAACATCTGACATCCCCTCCCCGCCTCTCCATCCAGGCAGCGTAGTGAGCCAACTGCCAGACAGATACAGTCATGCATGGGAGTGTGTGTGTGTATATATATATATATATATATATATATATATAGCACAAATGTCACTGACTGAAGGGCTAAGGACCTACCCTGCTCTCACAGAAATCAGTGGGATTTTTTTCTAACAGGAGTTGGATCCATCCTATCAATGTATCTGGGATTTCTCAGTGTTTCACTCTTCCTTATTTTTTCAATTCCTTGTCATGACCAAGAAAGAGAGAGTATTCATTGAAAACACTACACCCCCACCCCTCCACAGCCACCATCCTTCTTTGTTACGATTTCTTGCCCCTCCTTCTGAACCAGCTGATAAGCCATGATCCAGGACTATGCAGAGCCCTTGTCTGATTACAGATGGCAATTTTGAGGGTGGGGAGGCTCCTTGCCCTGCTCTCCCCTCTCCTCTCTGTGCTTGCTTCCCTAACTCTTTCTAGAATACTGCCAAACCTGAGGCCTGAACCACAGCAGGGCTGAGCATCTTGCAGACTCAAGATGACAAATTGGAAAGATCCCAGGGCACCAGTACAAGACAAGAGATTTGCTCTTATAGAAGTTTTCTGATTTTCTCCAATAAAAATTATTAGAGTTCCAGAAAGTCAGATGTATGGGGAATGCTTGGAAGCACTGGGGTTGGGATTTAAGAGTAATTTTCAAATACAAGATGGTCAACAAAAGTTCCCCATCTAGAGTGGGCAGAACAAGAAATAATTGCAGCAAGGGAGCTTTACATAGTGATAACTTGCTTTTATTTCTCTACTTCTTCTGATTTCATCCTTCCACCTTTATTCACTCTCTCTTTCCTTACATTGAAAAATTTACTTATGGGAGGTGGGCAGAGTGAGGGATGAAGCAAGAGCTGCAAAATGGCAAGGAGGCCATGCCAGACTGCATGGACCAGATTCCTACAGCTTTTAGAAACTAAGTAGCCCTGGGCCTGTCTAATACATGTATGGGAGATCACTGTTGAATCCCAGGCACTGTAGATATAAGCCAAGGTATGTTCAGACACTTGGGGTGACATTCTGCTCCCTTCCCAATTAGCTATGTGCACAGCGTTGGTCACCAAATGGCATTTTGGTGGTCTAAAATGCCACTTATATACAGGAAGGTAAGCTACAGCCCTTTGCATTTAATAATCATTGAACAGAGGGCAGTGCTTCCACCTTCTCTCTCTGCCGTTGGACTGATAGACAGGGCTAGCAGAAAGGAAGGCTGCCAGTGGGGGGAAATAGAGACAAACTGATCATGCATCCGTCACAGTGGAGGACCCCCAGGTGTGCAGCATGCCTTGTCTGCAGCCTGCTCCCTTGCAGCCACTCCAGTGCCCAAGCAGATTGCTGTACAGTGAGATAATGTCTCTGCATCCTTGCTGGGTTGCTCATTCTCCCCACTTCTCAGAGAAGGGAAGGCCACAGAGGAGAAGTCCATATGCTCCACTCCCTTTCTTCTCTCCTCTTTGGTGCTTTGTCAGAGCCCTGTCAATATAACTGAACCAGGGACTTCACAGGGCAGGCATGCTTCTAAACCCCTGCCTTGGCTCAAATAATGAGTTAAGTGTCCAGCCTGGAGTGTAAACTGTGCTTTTCCTGAGAAAAAAATGCACTGTATAATGTGCTGGTCCTTTTAAAAAAGGGCCCTAAAAAAAGGGTCTGTGGCTCATGAAATATCAATCACCAGGGACCCATAGCAACCTCTGTAGTACTAACTCTGCAGAAAGATTCAATCAGAGCAATCAGCAATGCATTAGGCACAATTTACAATTCATTACTCAACGACTGGAGGAAATCAGGGAGGAGGATGGACTGGGGGCCTGCTGCATTTGCCTAAGTTTATTCTGGGCTGTGAGAATTGAGATAACAAATGACAGCTAAGACAAGCCAAGCGTGTAGGCCACCAAACTGGAGTGGCAAGTTGTAACCTTGGCTCTGCTATGGGCTCCCTGCATGACCTTAGTCAAGTCACAGCCTCGGTCTGCCCTATGCTGTAAACTCTTCACAGCTGGGTCCCTTACTATGTCTATGTACAGTGCATAGCGCAAAGGGGTCTGATCTCAGTTCTGGCCTTTGTGTTACTGTAATATGAAGCATCAGTAGCCATAAAGATGGGGCTGCTGCCTTGTGCAAGTACAGGATGGAAAATAAAAGGCAAAGTAGCGGGGACTGCTCTCCTGTGCAGAGCCCCTTGCTGGAGTGTCTTACAAATCTTTGCAATCTCCAGGTCCTTATATTATGATAGCAATTGTTCCAATTCACTTGCCATCATCTCAGCTCATCTCTATGGTGATTTTTCCCTCTTTAGGGAATCAAGGCAGGAGTTCCTCAGAACCTCCCACCCCATGCTCTTCCCAACTGCTTCACTGATGCACAAACTGAACATCCCATAATTGTACAGATTTCCGCAGGCTTATCTCTTCCATGCTGGTGCTGTCTGGCTGTGCTCAACAGCTAGCACTCTCTCACGCTGCTGGGTTTGGGAGAATAACATGAAGAGCTCTATCAGGTCACATGCAGATGTAAAACAAATGCTTCCATCAATTTTAGGTACCAAGGAGCAACACCAGTAAACAAAGAATGGCAAATTCATTCTTAGGGCAGCCCTGCTGACTTGAAAAGGAAGATACCAGGGACATCTCTGAACTGGAGTTTTCAGATTTCCCTAGGGATGCCTTTGAAGAGCTGTCACTGGAGGGAGCCCAGTTTAGATGCCAAAGTTGGGCTCCTTGGTGGGTGCCAGTGAGAAAAGATGGGCTCCCAAAGCTTACAAACTTATGCTTAAAATCTAAGCACCAGCCTTGGCTAGGTGAAATCTACTCCGTCCTTTGCCATTGCTGCAACCTCAAATCCAGCTGAAAGGGCTTCCCAGGAGGACATCCACAGTGTGAGAAAATCTCTCCCCTGAGGTAGGGGCCACCAACGAGGCTCTTAGGTTACCTGCACCTTGACACAGAGGATGTAGCTAGCAGTAAGGGAGTATGGCAGGACTGCCCCTATGCTCGGATAATACCAAAATAGTCCCCCTTCAGGCTGTCAGGAGCTAATGGAAGTTAGAATAACCTTTAGGTCGCTCTATCATACATAGGGAGTTGGCTTGGCAGTCAAAAGCCTCAAGACTGAATGAGATAGGATCCTGCCAGCTGGGTTTTTTAAGCTCTTGCAGGTGCAGAAAGGCAGGACTCCAGGAGTAGGCTTGAGGCCTGTCATCTCAACAATGCCTTGAGCAGAACTTGCGTCAGTCCCTTTCCAAGGACTTCACCTCATCTGTGCGATGGTCAGGGATCTCCCCACACTACTGCTTGCTACAGTTTTTATCCCCTTTTTAGATTTCTTTCCCAACTACTATCACATATGGAGATCCAGCTGGAGCACACCAATGGTCCAGCAAGCCCATTATCCTACCCTTGTTGTAAGGGCCCCATCAGCTTTAGCACCTTACCTGCAGCACCGTGGCTTCAAAGCAAGATAACTATGAAGTACAAATAAATTATCTTATGTTTTGAGCAGGGAGATCTATTCCTGATGTAGCCACAGATATAATACACTTAAGGACTGATCCAACATCCATTAAAATCAGTGGAAAGGCACCCAATGCTTTCACTGGGCTTTGGATTAAGCCCTTGGCTATTCCTTAAATGCTGTAGGTAGGAAAAAAAATAATATTTCTACCCAACCTTGTGACAATCATGCCTGAGATTTTATGGCACTTGTAGTAAAGGATGCTGTTGCTACTGGTAACTCTTTTCCTGTAGTAACTGCCATCAAGTTGTGAGACATTTGCATGAATGGGTCATTGTTATACAATTAAAATTTATTGCATCAGTCAGGGAAGAATAGTTAGACTACTCCATTGTATCATTTTAGGAACATTCTGATCCAGAAAAGCCAAAGGATCTGATACCGTAGCCTAGCAACAGATGTAGGATACAGCTTAAAATAGCCTTTTTTTTTTTTTTTTTTTTTTTTTTTTTAAAAAAAA